TCATGGTCCATGTTAACATAAAAGAGACAAAAAAACAAACATAATACACAACAGAAAAGAAAAAAAACTTATAAAAGACTTGCATACCAGTATTTCCATAAAAATGACTGGTAGCATAATGCACCCCATGAAGGATGTGACAACATTAAAATTTTATTATTTATCTATATTATTTGCATTTCTAATAACTATTAGAATAAAAAATGTATTTATACAGATCATTTATTTTATTTTACTTCTAGAGGTCATTTCAGGTCAAGAAACTTATTCCTACATCTAGTAGGAACAAAATCATTAAAGTGGACATWTCCTGCTTTTAAATCCTTTTTCACATTTGAATCCTTCAATTGGGGTCTATATATATATAGTGGAACTGCAGTGCTTTGGTCTGAATTCCTCATTACTGTAACTCCACAAGCCCCTCTTTTACCCTTTTTCTGAGGAGAGTCTCAGATCAACTCGTTTTGAGGCTGTCTCTTTTAAATCCAAATGAGGYGCTTCACACCCCGCCCCCTTCCAGCTTTGAGCAGTCCATTCCATTTTGATAGAGGGGTTTATGACTATATAGAGGCGCAGAAACTTTTATTTCTGAATTAAAAGACGTCAACAATGGAAGACTTGTCCATCCAGTAGGGCTGCACATTATTAGAAAATCTTGCGATGGCGATAATGTTTATAAATATTTCAATGACAATATCAGGTGTGATATATGTCTTTTTTTTCCTTTCCTCCCTTTCTTATCTGTACTTCCTGTACTCTCTGTGACCTTTAGCGTTTTTGACAATGTCATATGTGTCTTATGTGAGCTTTTTCTGTCGTGAGACTTTGTCCCACTGGTTAAATATTGCATTAGCATAAAATACAACTTAAACTCTTCAAATATAATATTCAACTATTACTGCACTCAGGCAGTCCTTTGCGAAATGAATGTTGCACACACTGATTTTGTGATGACGATGTTTTCGCGATATATTGTGCAGCCCTACCATCCAGCCTTACATGTTGGAGCCAGAGTCTGACCCAGAGCCAGAGGAGAATGAGGACCACCAAATTGTAGTTGGTAAGTCCAGACCTTATTTAGAAGTCCCGTTGCTAAAATTATAGTTCAGAAAACATCATAGATCATAGAGAAAACTGAATGGGCTGAAAATCATGACTCATGGAGAATATAGAGATACGTATCTACGCAGCACCAGGAGAGGCTAAATTCAACTTTTCTGCACAGAGACTCCAATACCACAACAAAATGCATTAATGGCCAAAAAAAAGTAGATTTTGTATGAAATTTCTACTTTAAAACTTAATTTACAGACAAAAAAGACAATAAATAAGATGCAGTGACTCTATCTAAAATAAAGTCTTTATTTTTCATGTATAAGTCATTGTGTGCTCCCGTCTCACCACGTCTTTTTCTCCTATACCTCTCCCTTATCAATGCTCTTTCTGTCTTTCTGGCTCCATTTCATCACGCCGCCCTCGGCCTGACACAATAATCCCAGCTATCCTCTTTCTTCCAGTTGCACATAAAGTCCCTTCTCTCACCAGCTCATTTAACCCCCCTTCCTTCTCTCTGCTTTCATACTTTCCCTAATCTGTTTTTTTTTTCTTTCCCATCCTCTTCTCTTTCCTCTATTTTCTTGTTTGGTGGCATTCCTTTCTGAAGAATGGACCACAGAAGAACAAGTGTCGACCCAAAGTCACACCGAAGGATTTCCGGGGCTTTATTCTGATCAATCTCTACGGAGCAAAGCTGAAGACCTGACACTGCACTGATCCTTTCAGAAGAGTGGCTAATTTAGAAAACAGAGAGCTTATTTTACTTACACGGATGCCTTTAGTTCCAGGACTGCCTTGCGGCCCAGCTAAACCCTGTAAGAAAAGCATGACTTTGGTGACGAACACCTGATTACAAAGACATTTTACACATATGAACATAAATCTTAAGATGTAAGACTCTAAGTTTATTAAAAGTAAAACCCACTTGGGGGCAGATGCAGATAMATATCAGGCAGGTGAGGGCTTCATAAAGTTCTCAGCAGAGCAACAAGGAATCAAGAACAATGGATGGAGGAACTATCATATTTTTTTGTGTTTTTCACTGCACCTGCCTGCCAGGGTAACCTGTAGCTCCAGCCTCTCCAGGAGGTCCTGCAATGCCCTGCAGYGAAGAGAGGAAAAAGTGAATGAATRGTGAATGAAAGGTTAGGTGGACAGATGAAGTGAAAGAGGAAACTTCTATGMGCAAGAATAAAACATGCACTGTTCAGTCCAGAAGACTTACTGTAGCTTCCAGCAAAGCTGCCACTCACCAAACCCATCACTCTGTTTCTTTTTTAAAACCAGCTTCAATGTGACTGTTAACAATGTGACAAGCTGGAGGCTGAGTCTATTAAGGCAAAACAAGCTAAACATTGGATAAAAGGAAGAACTGATATAACTRGGATATTAACCAGTGGGAGTTTTGTATGTGCAGCATATAGATATTTTTTTCCATTGTTTTCTTGTGACAAAGACATAATATGTTGTTTTRAATAACGATYAGTGTTTTCTTGAGATAAGGAGTTATGGTTTTACTCTTCAGCATCATTCTGTAAACATAAASATGGCCTGGTCCCCTCAGCTGGTCACTGGTGAACTTTACCAGAACGTAGGCTGAAATTGCRGTTTGTTTGTCTTGTCCAGATAACTTTTATAGCAGCCCTTGTCATTTAAGGAGATGAGTTTCGTTAAGGGTAGAACCTTGCATGGCTGCTGGACCCGGCGCACCTGTTCTCTAAGTCTGTTGTGTTTTTATCTCTGTCTCTTGAACAAGTTGTTCTGAACTGTAATTTCTCTTCATGGGATSAATAAAAAAATCATTCATTCATAACTTTCATAGCAGCCCTCATCATTTAAGGAGACGGCTGGCCCAACTGCAGCTTAACAGGTGTTTACACTTAAGTGTTGCTGATATAATAAACTTTATCAGTGACCAGCTGAGGAGACCAGGCCATCTCCATGGTTAAAGAATGATGCACGACAGGAAAACCATAATTCGTTATCTCAAGAAAACGAGCAATGTTATTTTGTGATGACGACACAATTAACTCGTTATCTTGAGAACACGCTCATTGTTATTTCATAACAACATAACTAACTCATTATCTCAATAAAACTCTCATTGTTTTTTCTTGATAACAACATAATTAACCTGTTATCTTGAGAAAACGCCCATCGGTATTTTGTGAAAAAAAAAATTCATTATCTCGAGAAAATGCTCATTGCTATTTTGTGATAACGACATCATTAACTCATTATCTTGAGAAAACGCTCGTTATTTCATGATAACAACATAATTAAGTCGTTATATCACTATTTGTCTGATTGGATTCGCCACATTGGATGTACCAGTGGACATTAAGGCAAATGGAAAAATTGCTATTGTCTAGCAGACCGAAAACATTTTCTTCTGTTCCCAAACAACTGATTACAGATTACCCTCCCCCCCACCCCATCTTGACCTTGAGAAGGCTGTGGAATTAAATTCCTCCTGATGTGTACGCACCTCCCC